CCCCCCCCATTTTAGATAGCCAGTGTCTCATCTACCACTCTGTGTACTGAGGGGATAGGCTTTGATCCTTGATGTGAAGACTCCTTCCCTCTTGGTTTATTTTGAGGTCCTACATCCATAAATAAAGGTCAAGTTCATCAAATTGTAGCAATTTACACTTGTTTCCTGTATCAAATTTCTTTATCTTCTCTATTCAAGTTCTGATCATCAAGGCATTGAAGCTAGGTCAAATGGGTCCTATCTGCAAGTTTGGGTGTTCTTGCGCATCTCCCTCCACTTCATATCAGCTGGATGTTTCACTCTCAGCTCTAGCCCACTGTGGCTAGGGTCAGGGTCCATGGGCTCAGGAGTTCCCAGGTCTCCCCAAATTTCAGACCACCCAGCTTTTCCTCTGCTCCCTTTCATCTCAGAGTCTATGGAGATGACCAGGAGTCTATGGAACTCAGCCCACATCTTTATTACTGCCTTTCCCCCACTTCCATTCACAACTAGAACAACGTGGTCACCAGCAAGCTTATAAGCTGTTCGTGAGTTCCCTTTGAGTTTCAGTCTTGGAAAGGAGTTTGTCCTGAAGGGACTTAATGGCTTGCCCTTGATGGGTCCCAGGTGGATAGCTTGCTTGTTCTTGTAATGGCCAATCTGCTGTTTTAATTTTTTGTTTTTTTCCTGCTGGTCTTTCTTTCAGGAAGTATATTCTGTTTATCTGGTTTGGTCTGCATGTCCTTTCAAGTGGGAATGTCCCACCTCAGAAGGTTCTATACACTACAAAGCCTCTGCAAGCAACCTATTTCACTGGGCAATCCTAGAACCCCTTTTAAGTATTCCAATCAGCTGAAGATGGGCTTACAAGCTTTCTGTAACCAATATTTCCTGATATTCCTTTCTATTCCACTCAAGTGTCTATTTTAAAATAGTAGGCAAAGGAAACCAGTATCCATAATACAGTCAAGCACCTTAACATTATTTCCCTTAGGGTGTTTTTTTGTTTGTTTGTTGGATGCAATCCAGTTGATTCTGATTCAGTGCATAATATAACAAAATACTGCCTGGTACTGCACCATCCTCACAGTTACTATGTTTGAGGCCATTGCTGCTGCCACTGTGTCAACCCATCTTATTGAGGGGTCTTCCTATTTTCCACTGGCCCTCCATTTTACCAAGTATAAGACCCTTGTCCAAGGACTGCTCCCTCCTGATAACATGTCCAAAGTGTGAGAGACAAAGTCTTGCTTGCCATCCTGGCTTCTTAGGAGCATTCTGGCTGTACTTCTTCCAACACAGATTTATTTATTCTTCTGGCCATCCATGGTGCTTTTAACATTCTTCTCCAACACCATAATTTAAATGCATTGATTCTTCTACGGTCTTCCTTAGTCACTGTTCACTTTCATATGCATACGAGACGATTGGAATACCATGGCTTCGGTCAGGCGCGCCTTAATTGTCAAACTAATATCTTTACACTTGAACACTTTAAAGAGGTCTTTTGCAGCAGATTTGTCTACTGCAATATGTCATTTAATTTCTTGACTGCTGCTACATTGAGCATTGATTGTGGATCCTGGTAAAATGAAGTCTTTGAAACATCAATCTTTTCTCCACTTATCAGGATGTTATTTATTGGTCCAGTTGTGAGGATTTTTGTTTTCATAACATTGAAGTACAGCCCATACCTAAGGCTGTGGTCTTTGATCTTCATCAGTATTTTAAGTCCTCTTCGCTCCCAGAAAGCAAGGTTGTATCCTCTGCATATTGCAGGTTGTTGATGAGTCTTCCTCCAATCCTGCTGCCACGTTCTTCTTCATATAACCCAGCTTCTTGTATTATTTGCTCAGCATATGAATTGAATAAGTATGGTGAAAGCATACAATCTGGTGCACACCTCTCCTGATTTTAAACCATTCAGTGTCCCTTTGTTCTTCTCTAATAACTGCCTTTTAGTCTATGTACAGGTTCCTCATGAGCACAGTGAGGTGTTCTGGAAAACCCATTCTTTGAAATGTTATCCATAGTTTGTCATGATCCAAACAGTTGAAAGCCTTAGCACAGCCAATAAAGCATAAACATCTTTCTGGTATTCTCTACTTTCAAGAGTCTTCTGATGTCAGCAATGATATCTCTAGTTCCATGTCCTTTTCTGAATCTGGCTTGATCCTCTGGCAGTTTCCTGTCAATGTGCTGTTACTACCATTTTTGAGTGATCTTCAACAAAATTTGACTGCTTGTGATATTAATCATATTGTTCAATAATTTCCACATTCCGTTGGATCATCTCTCTTTGGAATGGGCAAAATATGCATCTCTTCCAATCAGGTGTTAGTGGATGAAATTTTCCAATGTAGTAGACATCCATAATCATGCAATTGGAGGAAAATAATGCTAGGGTTATTTCTAAACCCACCTTCAACACGCTGAAGATGTTATTATTTTCTTTAACAGGACATACTCATCACAGGTTTTGTTTTACTGAGGTTGTGTTATGGGGTGGTGGCAGGTGGGGACCAGAGCTCCTCAGGTCTTGTTAAAAGTCTGGTTCGGTGCATGCCTCAGACTATGTTCAATCCAGTGACACTTTACTGCCTGTGACTGACTCTTCTCTCCCTCTCTGATTCACTCCAGGAGCTTGAGCGCCTTAACCAGGTGCTGGAAGCTGAGAAGCAGCAGTTTGAGGAGGTGGTGCAGGAGCTGAGAATGGAGCAGGAGCAGATCAAGAGGTGGTGGAGTTGGCCCGGGAGGGGATGGGAAGGAGGGCACATCTGGGTTAGGGTGTACTGAGCCCATATTGGTCAGACCTGAAGGGGCCTCGCCCAGGGGATACTCGCTAGCAGAGGACTTGGTTTGGGGCTATGTTTTCAATGCTTTAGGTCTTGGGTTGTGTCCAGAAGTAGCTGTGGACTCTCATTCACATCACTACCCACTGAGGAGTATGTGCAGACAGGCATCCTCCTCAGTAACAAGCCCCTCCCACCTTCCTGAAAGCCTTCCTTACCCAAGGCCAGACAGGATCCAGTTGTCCTAGAGGTGCCACTGCCAAGACCCCAATATCCCCCACTTTTCCTACACAGCCCTTTCACATTTTGGCTAATGATGGCACGTGGGATCTTTAGTTCCATGTATGGTCTGCCATTCTACTGAATTGAAGGTGTATTTTAAAAAAGCCTCCCCAACTATTTATTGCTCTGGGTAGTGCTGATAGTGGTCATCATCCCTGATCCTCAGTGACAGTTCAGAACGAATTTTCATGCAATACTCTTTTAAAAGGAGAGTGACATTCAGAGGATCTGACCTAGGGAATTGCCAAGCACCTCCTCAGCTGTCAGCATTGTGCCAGACCCTGGAGTAGAAGACAAGTTACCTCCCCTGAGGACCTTATAGCCTGCTTGGGAAACCTGAGCTCTCACGTAGGAAACATCAACACAATAAAATACTAGGGGGCTACAAAAAGTTCCTGGGGAAATTCCATTTTTTTGAAGCCCCTTGCGTAATCCAGTGCTACCAGGCACAGTGCAAATTTCCTCCATTTCAGGAATTCAGAAATATATATGATCCATGTAGGCTCGATAAGAGGTTAGATGGAGCTGGGCCTTGCAGTGTGGCAGAAGGGAAAGGCATTCTAAGCAGGAGGCTAGGAAACAGGAGCAAAGCCTTGAGGTGCCCAAGGTTTGTTAGAAGGCAGTAAGGAGTTTGTCACCCCTGAGAAAGGCCTCAGCCATGTGTCTGTGACAGAAAAAGTTTGGCTTTAGCCGGAGCTTGTGTAGGGATTACAGGGATGAGGACAGGGTCCCTTTGCTTCTCCTCCAGGACACCCCTCTGCCTGTGGGTAGCCCTGGGTCTGTCCCAACTGACAGATGCACATATACCTGGAGCAAATCACTTCAACTCTACTGTGCCAACATCTGCTTCTCTCGGGCTGGGGCCCCTACAGCTGCTGTTGGGGTCCAGGATGAAGAGGGGCTGCCCTCTAAGAGCACTCTGACCTGTAACAGGAAGTGAAGCAGAAGACTTCTGTCTGTGGAGGAGTTGGGAGTGGGTGGGCACTACCATATTCAGCTCTCTATCCCTGCAGAGAGCTAGAGCTGACAGCAAGATGCCTCAAGGGTGTGGAGCAAGAGAAAAAGGAGCTGAGGCATTTTACGGAGTCCTTGCAGCAGACATTGGAGGTGAGGGGCCACTGCTGGGGTGCTTGACTGGGAGGCTGATTGGTGAGCCATGTGAAACAGATTTTTCCACTGTTGTTTCCAAAGAGAATTATCTGCAAAGGGAATGGGGAAGGAAGGGAGGCTGATCTAATGGGTTTCTTGTCTGTGAACCTTTGGGGACTCCAACCTGGACGTGCGATCCAACGTAGGAATTTCCAAACCCAGATGCTATGACTGTGGCATCAGGAAATCTCTCTCCTTTAGTGCTTACATTTTTATACCAGATGGAGGACTGGTTAGGGGTGCTTCCTTCTTGTGGCTCATTCACTTAGCTGCTCGCAGGCACAATTGAGCATGAAAAGAAATGAATCACCAGGTCACCTTCATTTAATACCATAGAAACTGGGAGGAGAGACAGAGGTGGCTTGTGCTGAGGACAAATACCAACTCCTTAGCATGGAAAGAAAGTGCCAGCTCTGGTCCCAACCCCTCCTCTCCTGTGGTCCCACCTTCCCTCTGCTGTCCCCTGCATTCTGCACACAAATCCCCCAACCCCTACTCCAAACCACTGTGCCCCCAGGAAGCCAAGATCATTCATTCTTCTATACCATTCTTTGCCCATCCTCTTCCTTCTGCCTTTCTGTCTCTTCTCTCCCTGGAACTGGAAGGCAAACGGAGGCAGTCATGTTGGAGAACCTCAACTGGGCTCTTCATCTTCTTTCCTTCCTTCCTTCCTGACTCTAGGAACTCTCCATAGAGAAGAAGAAAACCCTGGAAATGCTGGAGGAGAACGAGAACCAACTGCAGACTCTGGCTAGTCAGAGTGAGGAGTCCTCTCCCAATGGAGGGCTTCACAGCAATCTAAGGCAGATCGAAGAGAAGATGCAGCAGCTCTTAGAGGAGAAGCTCCTGGCAGACAAGAGGTGAGGTGGCCGAGACTCCCGAGTCCATGATTAGCTTGCGGTCTGATAACGTGCCTCAAACAGACACCTGGACTCAGTTGCCAGTGACCACATAGGCCACTCACTTCCTTTTGCCTAGAACTCAGTTTTCTGCCAGCCAAATAGCGAAGCACTTAATACTGATTTGATAATAATCTCTTGCAATGGTGTGAACCAGGCCTTCATAGCAATGCTTGGTGATTGCCTGGGCAGATACACTTAGCCCCTTTTCACCGATGAGGAAACTGAGGCTCAGGGGTCACAGAGGTCACAGAGCTAGCAAGTCCTAGAGTCAGACTCTGGTATCCTAACCTAGGACACTGACCACACCTTCCCTCTCATCACTTGGGTGACGAGATCCAGGAAGTGTTCGGGCTTACAGTGTCTGGACCTCAGGGTTCCTCTAAACTGGTTTCTGAGAGGGGCTGCTCCTGACTTGCAGGATGAAGGAGAATGAGGAGCGCTCAAGGGCCCTGGAGGAGGAACGTGAGTTCTACTCAAGCCAATCCCAGGCGCTACAGAACTCACTGCAGGAGTTGACTGCAGAGAAACAGCAGGCCGAGCGGGAACTCAAGGTGTTGGCCCAGGCCTGCTGGGGCCTGTGTGTGCTACAGCGGGTATCCTTCCCTCACCTGGAGATGGGCCCTTGACCCCCAAACATTACCAGGCAGCTGCCTTTCTCCCCAGGTGGCTAGGTGTAGGCAGTGGAAGCTGTTTGAGGAGGTCAGCAAGCCTGCCTCTGACCCTTTGGTGGGCCATCATTGCTAGATACCTGCTGGTTGCAGGACCAAAGCTGTGGCCTCCTGGTAGGGAGTAAGATGTGGAGGCAGGATGTGGTAACTCCCATCTAAGTCTGGAGGCAAGAAAGCCCATTTGATCCAGGGATGACCAGGGAAGGGTTCCTGGGGAGGTGGCAACTGCTCCCTAAGACCAACTCCCTCTCCCTTCAGGCTGAGGTGAAAGTCCGCATGGACTTGGAGAGGCGTCTACGGGAGGCAGAGGGGGCCTTGAGGAGCCTGGAACAAGGGCTCAACTCAAAGGTGCGGAACAAGGAGAAGGAGGAGAGGATGCGGGCCGACGTGAGCCATCTGAAAAGTAAGCCCTGACCCAATGTGCTGAGAAGAGGCCCTGGGGTCCAACACAGGATTGATGTGTATTAGGTGTGTATTAGGAGTCCTGGTGTGGCACTGTAGGATAAACACTAAACTGCAAGGTCGGTTTGAATCACGAGGTTGGCAGTTCAAACCCACCAGCTACTCCTCGGAAATCCTATACAGGGTTACTTTGAGTCAGAATCAACTCGATGACTGCACTTAACAACAACAACAGATACTTAATACATATTGGCACCATTTCTTCCGAGACACCTGCCTGCAGGCCTCCATTACAATCACTTTCTTTGGGTTGTTAGTTGTGGGCTGGGAACTGAGGGAAAAGCCTAGTTTCTTCACTTTTTCAAAAGCTCGGGGCTGTGTTCTCAGCAAGACGGTTGCAGATTGTGGTCTAAGGGGCAAAGGTGGTTTCGGTCTCCCTAGGGATGGGGTCAAGATTTCCCACTCAACCCCGCCCGGGTCCTTGGGAGGGGCTGAGAGAGGGGCCGCAGCAGTGGTGCACGTCCTTCTGGGTCTGTCCTGCAGGGTTCTTCGAGGAGTGCATCCGGAACGCCGAGCTGGAGGCCAAGATGCCGGTCATCATGAAGAACTCCGTGTACATCCACAAGGCGGCCACGCGCCGCATCAAGAGCTGCCGCTTCCACCGGCGCCGCTCTAGCACTTCCTGGAACGACAGTGAGTGCGCCGTCTGTGGTCAGGCAGGGCAGGGCTGGTTGGGGAAACTGAGGGCTGGCCCTGCACAGCCAGAATTCTCAGCACATTGGCTTCCTCACAGGATGTGGGAGCCCAAGGACCAAAGGGGATGGGGGGAAGCCCAGGGGCTGAAGCGGGTGTGCGTAGCCCTGACTATGGTTGGTGTTGGGACCAGTGGGGCCTTGGTGGCAGGAAGGCTTGTTCACACTGGTTAGGCCACTGTTTCCCCAGTGAAGCCATCCCAGTCCTTCATGACCTCCCAGTTAGAAGCCAACAACATGGAGGAGCTCAAGGAGGTGGCCAAGCGGCTCAGCCGAGACCAGCGCTTCCGGGAATCCATCTACCACATCATGGCCACCCAGCCTGGAGTGCCCACTGCGCTTCCCCGGGGTGGAAAGTGATGGGGCCCCTCTTTTGCTTCTCAAGTCTTTCTCCCAGGATAGGGGAAGGGGTACAAAGGGAGGCCTGACCCGCCTGACTCCCCTTGGCTATCTGGGGGGGGCTGCCCCTCGTCTGAACTATTGCTCCCTCTGGGGGCCAACCTCACCCTCACACCCTCCCACACCCTGTGTCTATACTAGGCCCATGCAGGCCCATGCTGGGGTGCCTCATGCCATGGAGAGGTAAGGAGGGGACCTGGTTGTTTGTGGTGATGGTTTTGGGTAGGGGTGGGGTGGAGAGGGAGAACTGTGTGGGCAGGCAGGGTCCACTCTGGGTGAAGACAACAACCCTCTCTTGTGCTTACCTCACCTCTCTGCCTCTCTCTGTGTGGCCTTGCTGGCTTGCCCCTGGTCCTCCTGTTAAAGGCCTTGCCCCCACCTCTTAGACCCTGGGATCCCAGCCCTTTCTTTGCATCTGACACTCACTGGACAGCTGAGAAAGGAACCTAGGAAGGAACTTCTGGGCTCACAGCACCCCACATTCACCATAGTACCACCCACGATGCTCCTGCTTCTTAGGTGACCTCAGCCACATACAGCCTCCGCACCCAAGGAGGGTGGTATGACCTTGTTATATCCCTTTCATGGACCTGAGGGCCTTGGGCTTAACAAAGACACAGAGGACTCTCCCAAGGGTGGCTTCCAGCTCAGGCAATGGAAGAAGGTAGCGGGATCTGTCTGCTGGGACTCAGTTGCCTCTGGCTATGGTGACCTTGCTGGTCTGTGTGGTCTCAGATGTCTTCTTCCCAACATCTGCTGCTTTGTTCGCCTTGCTGCCTTCTCTTCTCCCAGAGACTTTGCTGTGAAATAATGTCACCATGAACTCTTGTCAGGTGGGGAGTCTAGACGTAACACGGCCATGAGCCATTGTAGATGAAGCTGAAACTCCCATTTGCAGCTCTTGTGGATGATTGCCGCTTCCCAGGGGTTGTGTTCCTCAGCCAGGGACAGAAAAGTCTGGCCTGCTCTTCCCACATCTCTCCCCTCTGCAGCTGCCAATGTTTGTCCGATTCTCCAGCAAAAGCGTCTACCTGAGACTCACATGATGAGGGGCTCTAGTGGAGTTACAGGTGCTCTCTGAAGCTTGGAACACTGGTGAATCTGAGGCTACAGGGAAGCCCGGAGAAGGTGCTGACCTCTCGGTGCCTGCAGTCTCTACCTTATCTGGTTACAAAATGAAAAGGAACACCATGGCCTCTGAGAATGCCTGCTGTTGGGCTGCCTGCTCTGTGCCCAGGGCTGCCTGCTGAGACCCACCTTCATGGCCCCTTCTCAGTGGCAGGGACAGCCAGTCTCCGCAGAGTCTAGGTGGAGTGGGAATGAGACCAGAAACAATGTGTCTAAAAGGGCTGTGCATCAATGTCAAAGTTTTAAACATGTACACCTACATAACCCTGAACTCATTTCTCAAGTATGTATGTGTCATGGGTTCTGAAATCAGGGGGAGACATAAAACTAAGATCACTTATTTATTTATTGTTTTTTAAGGAATTAAATTAATGGCTTGCTCTTGGGAAGGATGTTTTGGAAATTTTCAAACATGCCCTCCGCTGCCCCCAGACAAGCTGTCACCCAGAAAGGAAAGTGGTTTTCATGCACAGCTCCTCGTATTCCCACCCTGTCCTTCCTATGCTTCAGCTGATTAATCCTTAAGTATTTATTTGTTAAAAACTCACTATGTATCTACTGTTGTAGATAGAAAAGGAGCAACCTCCTCGTTATATGAAGATACTTAGAGGTGAAAATTGCTTACTGAAATATACTAATCCGATTTAAAAAAAACAATAACTAACCCTTTATTTCTTGGCCAATTAAATGTGGTGTTACCTGCATTATCTCTTAAGGACTTGGTGTAATCTGTGCTAGGGAGATGTTGCCCCCTGCAGGCCAAATATGGAATTACGTGCTCACCTGCTTGTATTTTGCCTCTTTGCTCTCTCTCACACATCCACCCCTTTCAATTTTCTATGCATATGAGGAATCACTCCCCACTGCTGTACCTCCTGTGAGTGCCTTTTTAATAATTAACTGAACCATCTGTGTACCCACCCCGAGGTCATGGCTCTCCCCATGTAATAAGAACTCTCAACTGGATTTTCTTTTGTTTTGAGCTCCAACCAATGGGACAGACTGTACAAGTGGGATTGCCTCAGAGAGACCAAGGAGATCTACTTTTGTGACCTGCTAACTTCAGTTTTCCCACCAGAAGTCGACAGTTTGACCTGCTCTGGTGACATGTGTATTTTGTAAGGGAGGATCAGAAATGAGTGAGAAACCGTAATGACTGATTACTGATTCTCTTATTTAATCTGTCAGCATTAGGTTTGCTCAGACCAACCCTGGATTATGCTGTCCCAGAATAATTAGTACTAGCTTCTCCTTTTGCTATCATAAACGTCCCAGAATGGGTAACAAGTCTGTGTTCACATAAATCACAATGTCTTTCCTCAAGGAGATGTTAATGTGTGAAACACTCAGGTTGTGCCCCACTTCCCAGCTCCCACCCCCTGGGAAAGATCCACAACTTCTCTTGCCTCTTCTTGTTGTTGTTATATGCCATCAAGTCGGTTCCTACTGATAGTGACCTTGTGAGTTCAAACCTCTGACTTTGTGCCTGATCTGGGCAGCCTGTGGTGGCCAAGTGCCAGCTGAGGTGAACCTTCATAACCAGCACATTGGGAGCCTACCGTAAATGACAATAGTGGAATAGAAACGCTCTAGTCTCAGGGAGTCAGTCCAGATGGTGTCAGATATAGTCTTACTGAAAGTAGCTATTAAACTCATGAAGCTGTTCTGGAGCCCTGTGGAACTTTGTGGTGTGTATGCCCAGATGAAGCTGCTGAGATCTCTCTGGGGGCTGCCCAATCTCAGAAATACTGTGGCTTTGAGTCCTGGGGAAAATGCTACCAACTTATCTCACCCCAGCCCTAGGTGAGCTAGGCATTGGGGGTGGGGATGTTCTTGCAAAGCTTTGGGGAGGATACGGTGGTAGTCTTGTTTCTTGGAAAATTTTCTACTCTCAGAGACAGCAACTGGGAAAAAGTGGCTATTCAAATTTCCAAGTGGGTATAAAAGGTGTGGTGCACATATTCAGCTTCAATTCTCTTGATTCTTTGTTTACACGTCTCACTTCCTCTGCTTTTTCTAGGACTTGTGCTTCTATACGTGACTACTCACTTCTCTGACCCACACACAGGTCTCACTGCTCCATCCAGTGGAGTTAAAGATATTCAGGGGAAGTTTAGGAAGGAGTCCAAGCCCAGGAATCCTATTGGTTAGGGGTCCATCTCAGTTAGTCATGACAACAATTACTATTGAATTGAAAGAATCCTATCTCCATCTCCTTTCACCAGACCCATCTAGACAAGATGAAAACTGTTCAATAGGGATTCTACATTCCATCCCCCCTTTGCTCTGAAATGAAACTTCCTCTTGGAAATATGTAAGCCAGTCATTTTGTGCCTTTATAGCTCCTCTCCCCCCGCCCCTGCCATTTTAGGTAGCCAGTGTCTTAGCTGCCCGTCCCTATCCACCCTGTGAACTGAGGGGATAGGCTTGATCCTTAAGGTGAAGACTCCTTCCCTCTCAGTTGGTTTTTTTTTTTTTTTTTTAATGTTTTATTGTGAATTATATGATCGTTTACATGAGAGAACTTTAGTTTTACATTCATTCCATCGTATATCATCTCATTGCCAT